AGAAATGAGTTTTCAGATTTCTGTTAAATACTTTGGAAAATGTTTGTGTACTCATTTTGGCTCCAAATTTGTTGAAACAAATTTTGCTAGGTTTATTGTCATTAGATCTACATGATAAAAATATTGCATGTTATTTTTAAGATACTTTTCTGTAGAGCTTTAATTAATTCTTGATATTGCTGATAACTTGAAAAATGTGTAGAAAAACCTATAGGCTTCAGAAAAATATGATTCCAAGTTTGTTAATCTTCTTATGTAATGTGCTTCCTAGGAAAAATATGTGTCATGCATGTCTTGTAGAAAAATTTTGAGGTGTAGTTCAAGTGCCTTTAATGGTTGATTTACATTAATTTTGCTAGAGAGCAAAATTTTTATAAAACATGCCCGTGATAATTTTTTGTACATTGATTATTTGTCATGTAGAACGTGGGAAAAATATTTCCTTTGTTGTTTGACACTTTTCACAATACAAAGTATTTTCATGTTCATAATCATGCCATAGCTTGTTATTTTTGTGTAGGCTAATCCACTCATTCAAATACCATGAAAATCGATGGTAGACTACTTAGGGTAATCTTTGTGCTATGGTAATTTTCTAAGATTTTCTAAGCAATAAAAATATATGTTGCTATTCAAACCTATTATTATTAGTTAGGGTTTAATCAAGTGTTGCTTTATGTGTGATTAAGAAATTAGTGAAGCTTTGGTGTATCTTTGAAGCATTTAATAAGATGTGTTGACTTAGCATATTAGTAGTAGAAGAGAAGGCAGTAGATGGCATGTGCTTGTAGTATATGTTTTTGGATGATGTTGACTACCTTACATTCAAGCATATCCATTGTATTCATCTCATCCGATGCACCGATTGCATAAGCACTTACGCACATTGCATCATACAGAGGATCACAAACCGAGAACCCAAATCGTCATACCCGAGGAGCCCGAGGAGCGGCTCGAGGTGCAACAGCAGGAGGTGCCCGGCCGACGAGGAGGACGTTGAGGAACTTCTGGAGTGCCCCGATCACCGCCGAAAGCTCCTTCGAGAGAGGCAAGCCCGAGCATTTTCTCCCGGTTTGCAATTATTAATTAACCGCTTTACTTTAATCGATGCATTACGTTCGGGAGTTGTTTGCAACCGTTCTTTGCATTATACCTTGTCTACCTTTGTTATACCATATCCTTGTTACCACGGTATCCGCAATGATCAGTCAATGCTTAGGCGGCTTAGACCGGTAGAAGTCGGGTGATTTCTGTCACCTGTGAGCTATAGGTGGTTACCTGGATCTACTTGGATAACTATGTAGTCATGGTATAACTAAGTGTTAAATGAAGTTGAGATCGGACGGAGACTTACAGAGTTTTGAACTGTAGTGCTTTCCGTCTGTGTCGATTAAGGATCGACCGTTGTTGGGCCTCGAGTCATGTTGAACGCATGCCTTATATTTAGTTGGCCGCATAAAGTACCTTCCGACCGTGAAGCTGGGAGATTATTCGGGCCGAGTAGATTGCCCGCAGCGCACTATGCTGGAGCAGGTGTGGTAGGACACGGGGGCGAGATGGTAAGACCAAAGTGCAGTCGGTCGGCCCCCGGGTACATGTGGTTCCTGGAAAACTCGAGACTCCTGGATAGTTGACTCGGTGATCAATACCTTACTTTAGCGAGTGAGTGAGGTTTGTGTAAGGAATAAATCACCAGCTGGTTAGGAATCGATTCGAATCGCCATCGCTCCTGGATAGTGAGCACTTGACTTGAGTGACTTCATCGTAGTAATGTTGATGGAACACTTGGACAGTTATAATGAATATGACATTATGGAAGTTGTTAATGATCATTGGTTATCATTATTTGCTTAATCATGTTTGCTCTAGTGTAGGTGCAAATCTAGTCGACAGGTTATAAATAATTAACTTGACAATAATGCTTTTGAAAGGTTCTTGAAATGCTAAAAATGCCTCTTTTTACAAATGAGTCAGCTACCCTACTATAAAGCCCTTCATAATCCTTGGTGTCACTTTATTTTCGGTTATGTCGGGTAAGTCTAGCTGAGTACCTTCTCGTACTCAGGGTTTTATTCCCACTTGTTGCAGATGGACAGATGTATTACGGCTACTGTATCAACTGCCTTTATCCTGCGATGGGTGATGCTTAGGACCATGGGCATGGTCATTCCATACGTCTCGTCTAATGCTTTTGTTGGAGATGATCATCAGCTGGCACTGTATTTGAACTCCGTGTGAGTGTGTGTGGTTTTAAACAAATGGCTTCCGCTACTTTTATTCGAACTCGTTTTGTAATAACTATGTTTTAAACTCTGATGTATCTGAGATGCGAACTTTTATGTAATATGTAATGGTGGCCGCTAAACTTATTACGATCTTGGCTGGGATGTGAGTTGGTTTGAAATCCTTCGTGATTTCACGGACTACCGGGTTATACGGGCTTAAGTTTGCTAAATCGTCTGCTCTGGCGGATGATTTTCTTACTTAATTTCGTATAATTGGTCGGTTCTGTTACATTCCCCAACATCAGTGGGTGAGTAAGCTCTTTGGGTATGATTTCATGATTGAATATCGACCGGGCACCCTCAATATCGTGGCTGATGCGTTGTCTCAGAGGGACGGGGACAATCTGCTGCTTCATGCAGTCACGGCTCCTTCCTTTCAGTTATTCGACGACCAACGCCGCGAACTGCAGCTGGATGATGATCTGCGTGCGCTGCGCGACTCCATTGTGACCAACCGGCGAGCCACGGTGTCGTGATGGTCTCGATCATCTTGTAGCGGACCGTGTGTGTCCCAAAGTCCTCGATTCTCCCCAAGACGACCAGGGACGGTCTTTGGTCATGAAGGCGCACAAAAGACGCTGCAGCGCCTTCGTCAGGAGTTCATGATCGACCATGACCGTCGCCTTATCCAGGACTTTGTGAGCTCTTGTTTCATGTGTCAGCGAAATAAAACTGACCATCTACACCCGGCTGGTCTCCTTCAGCCTTTGGAGGTTTCCTAGCAAGTTTGGTCTGATATTTCCATGGATTTCGTGGAAGGCCTTCCACGTGTACATGGGAAAAGTGTGATTTTAACGATGGTTGATGATTTTCCAAGCGAGCTCATTTTTTACCACCGAGTCATCCATATCTGCAAAGACATCATCATGCCGGAGTGTTCTTTGAGGCGTTGTCGAGACTTCATGGTTTTCCGGCGTCCATTGTTAGTGATCGCGATCCAAAGATTTGAGGGCATGTTTGGCGCGATATCTTGAGCTCATTGGGGTAAAGCTAAAGATGAGTACTGACTTTTCACCCACAAACCGATGGACAGTCCGGTGGTCAATTGCACAATTGCTATGTATCTCGCGATGTCTAATCGGTGATCGCCCTCGCTCTTGGCTTCAGTGGCTTCCGTGGGCGAATATTGTTACAATACTTCATTCCACTCCTCACTTCGGACAACGCCGCTTGTGTGGTCTATGTCCGCCTCCACCGCCTCTGTTGCCTTATCTTTGTGGGCACGGCAAGGATGAGCAGGGTGGACCAAATTTCTAAGTGATCGTGACAAGTTTCTCGCGATGTTCGTGATCGATTGCTGCAAGCCCAGGAGTATGCCAAAAGGCATTATGATGCTCACCACCGCCCTCTTCAGTTTGACATTGATGATTGGGTTCTCCTGCGCCTTCTCCATCGGCCAGCACAGTCCTTGGTGCCAGGTTTCCGTGGCAAGCTTAGTCCACGGTTTGCTGGTCCATTTCAAGTCATTGAGCGCATTGGCGAAGTGGCTTATCGCATGCGTCTTCCGGAGGGCGCTCGGATTCATGATGTGTTCCATGTTGGGGTTCTCAAGCCGTTTCGAGGAACCCCACCCGCCACTACACCGTCGCTTCCTCCTCTACGTCATGGCCGGGTACTTCATCGGCCTTCACGTGTGCTTCATTCTCAGTTGCGCCGCGGTGTGTGGCATGTGTTGGTTCAGTGGAAGAACATGCCAGAAGATGAGGCCACTTGGGAACCCGTGGATGAGTTCCGCACTCTCTTTCCTTCGTTTCAGCTCGAGGACGAGCTGTTTCCTGAGGATGGGAGAGATGTTATGACCGGTAAGGTCTATAGGCGTAGACAACGGGCTAGGAGTCCGGCTTAGCCGGCCAGTTGGCTAGGAGTCCGACCTAGCTGGATTGTTGGTTATCAAGTCCTAGAATATAGGATGTTTATCTCTTAGAGTTTGTTATTTGATTAAATTAGGTTTGAGTCGGTTGGACATCTCTTTGTATAAGTACTAAAAAATTATAATAGAAGGATCAGCCTGAGATTGAGTTTATCTCACCTTGGGCCCTCATGTGTTACTGTTCACAGTCTCTCACGTGCCGATTCCCCAAATTGCCTCTGACCAACCGCCGAAACACGCACCTCCAGTCCATCGCCGGGGTTCAAAGCCCAGGCCTCCAGTCTTCCACACCTACGATCTCCGGTCCCTAAGCCACAACAATATGCTTTTCTGAACGCAAACGTGAAATGAGCACATTCCAGAGAAATGTCTTCCCAGTCCCACCATACCCATACACAAAGAAACAATGCCCTGAATTTTCGTGGATCGATCGCAACACAACATCATATATGTCTTTGTTCGAGAGGTCAACCGGGCAGCAAGGGTATCATGCATGTGTTGGAGATTTGCGAGTCATAAGCCAGCTCCTCAGGTAGTAATCTATTTTTCATCTTATTGCTCGTGCTAAGGTCAGGTTTAGGTAAACCATGGTCCGTCATTGAAGCACCGTTTTTGACGAATAGGTTATCAAGTTCAATCAGGACCTAATTCTTTAGATGATGGTCGAGAACTTTGTAGAAAGGCAATCTGCATCGACTTCTTTATTTTATACTCTATATCATCGGTGAAATACGTGTAGAACTCATGGAACAGTAGACGCCGCATCACAAAGCAGAGCAAAAAAAATTATAGTAACAAGAAGTCGTCGATCCGAAAGCGGTAATTTGAACACCTGGATGCTTCCCTTAGAGCCTCACGCCACTCACTATCATCGCCAAGGAGGCCCATAGCTGGCGGGCATCCTTGAATGTAGGATACAGGACACCACTAATCGTTCTAAGATCTTCATATGACGTAGCGCCCTTGACAACATTCAAAAGCATACGGAGGTAATAAAGCTCACCACAACTAGGATTAATGTATATGGCTCTACCAATTTTTGTAGGTCCCTTGCGTGGACGCCATGCCTTGTCCTTCCTATTCCAAACCCATTTCGTGGGGAATTCTATGTATGTTAGATCTCGCACGCATGGGTACATCCTGTTAGCAGAAAACCACTCAGTCAATGTTGTCCGCATGTGACGAGGGTCATCTACAATGTCAGCCAATGGCTGCCTAGCTGGATACACGATAGTATTCATCCAAGGGAGATGCACAGCTAACCTCTCCACTGCAGGGGTCCTATAGTGTATATCAAATTCAAACATACGCCATATGGCTTCATGGGAGGATAAGTAACGGCAGTCAATGTATTCTTTAACCTCATCCACGTCTACAGACTGCCTCTGGGCATCTAGTGACTCCAATGGTTGGGAACCACTAGTGGGACCAATGGGAACATCATGTGAATTGCCATCGGAGACTTGGGTGCCAAATGATTCAATCACCGCTCTAGCACGATCTGGGCCTTTGGTAATATACATAAACAGGTACTTGATGAGGTGTGTTTTATTGCACCACTCTACATTTATGTGTGCCATGAATCACTTTAATAGTGCCAAATTGTATGGAACAACCCACCTATTGTCAAGTCTAACCCCATACCGCTCCACAAAATGCCCAGTATCGGGACGACGCCTATACCGCACAAACCCATCCTCACCGACAAGTGTGTTTGCTTGGTAGTCTTTTGGAAAGAATTTAGAACACTTGCTATTTTTCATACACGGGCATTTTTGGTTAATCTCACCACAAGGACCATGCACCATAAATTCATCAACAAGGTTATAGCCGATAAGATCCGATTGTTTATCTGGTACCTCTGCACATATGATTGAGTAAATAAAAGAGGGACGCAGGTCTCTAGTGTTACCTTGAAGCCAAACCAAGATATGGACGTGGGGCAGACCGCGTTTCTGGAATTCAACAATGTAGAGGACTGGAACAAATTACGAATAACATCATTAGAACCAGACGTGCATGGTAACAATTATTTTTTCAAAGCCGAGAGGCAACCTTGGCACAAAAAAAAGGGGTTGTACCTGCTCGTGTTTTCCCAAAGTAAGTCCCTTTCTTCAGCTCAGACACAAGTTCGTCCACCTTTAGCTTGAAGATTCGGCTAACTATGTCAGGTCTAGCGTCAGGCCTCTGCCCTGGAACAAACGCAAGAGCATCAGCTATTTCCTGCCACTTTGGATTACATGTAAAAGTAATAAACAGGTCTGGAGGTCCATAGAATCGACAGATGGCCATGGCATCCTGGTAGTTTTGGACCATGTATCTTTTACTCCCTGTAAAGCTAGCGGGCAAAATAACCCTTTTGCCAATGCTATTTCCATCAACATCACCCTTATGTAGTGCATCTTCAATACCCTTGTACACCTCAGATCGCAAGTTTTTATTGTTCTTTACTATAAACCTGAGTCTGTTCTCCTCTATGGAGGCAAAGGCATCAACAATGTATTGCTGGAATAACCTATCGCCACGTATCAGTGTTGTTGCCTCACATCTACGCTGTTGTAACCGGAAAGCATAATACTCAAGCATAGTAACCTCATCTCTAGTCCTAACGGGCAAGGCTCCTACTCGGCTATATTTAATTCCTAGCTTGAACCCCTGCTCCCCATGAGGGAACAAAATTGGGTATTGCAGGGACATATAGTTGGCATGTAGGTTGCTAATTCTTCTAAGCCCACCTCCTCTATCTTGAATGATTACGTCGGGGGTCTTCTTCTCCTCTGAGAAATCCCCCACTATCAAAGCAGCTATCTCTGATCCTGTTGGCGCGCTATACTGGGGTGCAACTCTGGACCTATCGTGCAACAGCCTAAGACGTAAAGATTGGCACTGCCCATGCCCCAAAAGGTCTCTAGCCATCCTAAATGATTTGACCAGCCCGCTAAACTCATCAAACATTCTTACCAGGCCCTCCACAATTGTTTTGTCAACTTGGCTATCGCTATCACATTCCCTATCTCTATTGAAAATTGATATTCAATTCTGGACCTCGTTTTCAGTATCATAGATATACAGCTGCGCGTACACCGGAGGTCTACCCTCATCTGGCAACAAAGACCCAATTCGATGATGAACCTGCCCATTAATTTTGAATACATATGGCCCAGGGCCCCTGTTTATGCCTGTATCAATTTTGCCTCCCAGTGATGTAAAAGCAAACATCGAATTATAAGAACGAATAGACCTGATAAAGTACTTAGATAAAACATCACCCCCTGGGTCCAATAATTTATCCAGAAAGGGAGGGGGGATTTCTTGGAATGGCAAGCTAACCTTACCTCCCCTGCAGCAAAGATGAAACCGAACGCTACCCGCTTCACCTGGATGTGTCCTTTTAACACGTTCTTGGTACCAGAACTGTGCACCACAGTAATGGCACTCGTGCGCAGGAGGGCCGTAGTACAAAGACTGTTCCGCAGAGGATACTGCAGGAGGGACAAGTAACCAGATTGATCACCTGGAGTAGTGGCCTACACCAGCCCTCTAACCCCAACATATCTTACACTGACCTGGACTGCTTTGCTGCCCAGCGCTAGGTCCTACGCAAGAAATAAATCTCACATGTCAGCCACAAGTACACACTTGAACCCCTGGACAAAACCGACATATTTTTGAGTGAGGGGAAGCAAACAGGGCACCTTTCTTCTTTGCCTCCCTTATGGATCTACGAAGTGTCTGTCGCTCACGTATTGTCAGCTGTCCAGCTGCAGGTAGGCCTGAAAACAAAAAACAATATCCATTATATCCATGAGACTTAAAGACGATATTTGTGAAATATGAGAGAGGAGGCACTATACAGCCAGATAATTCTATTTGTGTATGCGATGCTCTTTATCTACTCTTGAGGCCCCGAGGGCTCCAAATAATAGTACCTTGTCCATGCATGCCAATGCCTAGCTCAACTAGCATTCCATCCAGTGCAAAAAAAATCAGATTTATATTTGACCTGACGGAAAACATTTTACGTTTATTAATCTCTCTGGAAACAGATACAACTCCAAGCGGCAAATTGATCATTCATCGCGGTGTAGCCACTATAAATTAAGCAGCTATGATATTAGTTAGCACTTAACTAACACTCAAGCGAGGCAAGGAACTGGGAGCAAAGCAGCATCGCGCAATTTGGATGGCGGCGTCACGTCTATTGGGATGGAGTTCGCAGCAGGAATAAGAGGGAACCCAGACCGACGGAGCGAGGGCAGGAGGCGATAGGTAGCTGTTGAGGAGAGATCCCCTCTCCGGAGTGGAGGGGAGCATACGAACGCATACCAGGAATGGCGGCGGCGGCGGGGGAAACAGGAGGACGCCGGCGCAGCAGAGGTGGACCTGGAGCAGCACGGCGCCGGCCCAGGCCCGGCGTGCCGCCTCCTCTGACCATGTCGTGGACTCGCTATGCAGGGCGCTGTGGAGGTGGACCTGGAGCGGCACGGCACCGGCCCAGACCTGGCGCGCTGCCTCCTCCGACCATGTCGGCCATTGCGGCTGTCGGTGGGCAAATCTCGCCGGCGATGCCGCTTCTGCGACCGATCCCCTTGCCTACTCTGAGAGGATTAGAAGCCTGGGGCCAGGCCGGCGGGAGACGGATACAGATCGGAGGAGGAAGGCGAGCACGGGCAAGGAGGATTCGAGCTGAGCGTTTGGGTCGGGTTCGGGTACTGAGCTCCTGGTCCACCAGGCACCAGCGAGGGAATGGCCGAATCGGGAGTCGGGGGGCGCAACAAGTCTCCAAGCCGGGCAGTCAACACAAGTAGGCAAATAAACAATAATAACAGTAGCACATTATTATTTTATAATATTATCATTATTATATTAGTATTTGTCTGACCACGTATGTTAATCACTGCTCGTCTAACCATCAATGGTATGCTATAAAGATTCAGCTCTAGACTTATTTGTGCTTGGAGGAAATAGTTTCTAACTTCTAAGTAAAACTATCTATACTTATATTATTAAACAGATGTTGATCTAATGCAAAGCAACACAATCTTCACAAAAGGGAGAAAACATCATTTCATAATAGTTGAGCTGAAGCATAACTAACTTCTTCCTTGCAAGAATATGCAACCATCCATTGCTTAAAAGTCATTCTCTACCTATTACGTGGATGGTTGGACCAAACTCTTTTTCCAGCATCCAAATTCATAGCCGAAAAGAGAAATAAAACCACCCAAAACAGTACAGGTGCATCCCCTCGTGAAGCTACCCCGCCACTGCTACCCCAAGTCCCCAACAGACACTGAACCTTCAGTTTAATAAAAAATAAATAAAGGTCATGGCGAAATTACTCTGGAAATTTTACCATCATTATTTTTTTACTTTTCATGCATAGAAAATCGCTTTATTATCAATCAATGGGCTATTGTATTCTTATTTTTTCTTTAAAAAAAACAAAGTAGACAAGGCGTATTCTTCCTAGCAACGAACCAATCAAATTTCACCGGTTCAATAGAGGCACACGAAGCACAACAGGCGCCATCCACTTCCTGGGATCGCGTAAGAGCCGCACCTTTCCCACCAATCCAGACAAACAGGGAAGGGAAAGTAAAGTGGATCACTCACACCACGGGATGGCGGCGCGTTCGACGATGTCTTCGGCCAACGCGAGGTCAAAACAGTAACAGGCTCCCGTAGAACAAAAGGCCGAATAAGAGAAGAAACCGATCAGGCTACACTGGCTACTATAGTAGTTCATTGTCCGTTTAGTACCTGATCTGATCAGTGTTTCTGTATTTATTACTTATGAAACATATATAACGTTCGAGTATAACTCAACAATCTTACGATTACAGGTTTATTACTGCAGAAAAACATTTCCATCCAGAACATAAAAATCACATGAGGGTAGACAACCCGAAAAAGAACGTGAGGTTAGGCAAGGGCACCTGGTGCTGCAGCCGCTCTCTTGCCACGTCACCTCTTTCCAGCCCGGCTAGTAGAAGGCGCGCTTTCCATAGTCCATGCCTATACCTGTACATAAGACCACAGCACAGGTACAAATAAATATAAATCTTAACATTATTTCTAGACTCTTTCTGAAAGGCTACCTTTAAAGAAAAAATATTTTCCTTCAGGTTTTTACTTTGTATCGCACATGTGGAAGGTCAAAAAAATGATTTAAAAATATACTTGAAAGAAAAATAACTTAGTTAGTTGTTCTAATAAAATTCCAATCATCTAAAGATATATCATTTGCACATGCAAATAATCAATTGCGCACCATGATATGTTAGTGACCAAACGCTAGGCAACAAGGGCCTCACAACCATATAATTGTAGTCTCTCAATATGCAGAGAATAGCCTAATACTGGTGTATTTGCAATGGCGATGTGGCTGGCCGAGGTGGTGATGAAAGGTGGCCTAGGAGGCTATAAATAGGGACGCATATGCACCATGAAAACATGCAACCCTGAACATCCAAACATGAGCTAAACGCGAAGGACAGAGTAAGAGTAGGGACAAGACAAAGAGCTTTAATTACGACATTTCACCACATCAGGATACATCACATCGTATGGTTGCACAGAGGAGAAAAAGCCAATAGATAAAAAGTGAATAACCATGGATCAACAAAGACACAATTTTGCTAAGTGCTGGCACACCAAGTGAGGGCCAAGGCGGAGGCAGGCACCTGTCGTGGCTCACGCCGGTGTATGTATCAGTCAGTGGACTAATCAGGCTTTAGGGTGGAGATGAAGCTCAGAGCAAAAAACAAGCTCGCACGTGCTAAACAATGAGACGTCTATATGTATCAAGTCTCATCACATTAAATGGATCAACAGCGGCTCCATGAATAGAAGTGACTGTACACATAGTAAATGAATGTTGCTGGTGGCGCTGCATTAATGCACCACGTGCATCACCTCTAGACTTTCAGCTGCACACATGCATCCAACACACATACTACTTCATGAAGCACCATCAATTCATCGTATCATGCATGCATAAGTCATCGTCACATTCATCAAGCACCTGGCTGCATGCACTCATCACATTTAAGGCTTCACATGCATGCATGATTCAAGGGGTTCTGCGGAAAATTGAATGGGAGGCTCAGGAAGCCACGAGGACGAAACCACAACACGAGATTCATCTACCCTCATCCAACGGCTATGAAAATAAAGGATACGTGGACACATTGGGAGGCCGCCTAGACGGCACGGCCTCATACTTCTGATGGGAAAAGGTGTACCAGAAGTTAGAGTTGCAATCAACTAAAAACACAATCCCTGGTGTTGATAGCATTTTGAAAGGGGTTTTTTTTGGAAAGGTGCCATTACAATTCTTGAAGATCGGAAATATACCATTACAATTCGTCTAATCGCAAGTGTGCCATTATAATTTTGCGATACTTCGAAATCTGCCATTGTGTACGCCCGACGAACACTTGGGCCCGCTTGTAGGTCCGCGTGGCATACGGCGGACCGTATTCGTCCGTCGGCCGTCTTCATGTAAACGGCGCTGTGAACATCACCGTCTCAACCCCTCTCTCTCTCACGTGCTCCCCGCTCTTTCCTCGGCCAAGAACCTAGGGTGCGCTCCGTGATGACTTCGTGGCGGCGACCACCCCAGCGGCGGGCGACGTGAAGAAGCCAAAGGCGGCGAGCGCAAGGGGGGCGACTTGACTTGACCACAGCAGCAAGGATGAGCTCGAGCTCCACCGCTCATCGGCACTCGAAGGATGCAAGATTACCCCCTCGGACCGTATCTGAATGCCATGTTCCTCTAATCGAATCGTGAGCAAGCAAGAGCGCTCGAAGGATGTCCCATTTGTCAAGTGCCCGAACAACATAAAGGTAGGCTTTGTTGTGTTAATTGAATCTTCATTGTTTGGTTTCTATTTGACTGATTTAGGGTGCGTGAGGTGATCCAACAACTTGTGGTGGATCCGTTCGGAGGAGCGAAGAGGAGGGTTTACGAATCAACAAAAGGAGCAAAGAATCAGAGTCCGATTGCCCTTCATCATCAAGTTGGGGATGGTATTGGTGATTTCAAGCAACACTCCGTGAGATGAGGCAAACACTTTGGACATTGTTGTTCAAGACATTTGGAAACCGAAAGCGCAAATTAGAGACATGCATTCTGTTGTTCCTAGTCCGATTAGTAATGCAACACAGACATGGGTAATAAGAAAATGCAGATTGTGTTAGATGTATCTGTTGTAATAGGTGTCCTTGTTGGTGTACTGGTAGGTGTAGTTGTTGCCCAGATGATGAAGTGACTGTAATGAAATTGATCAGCATTGTGCTATGTTTTTTATGAAATTATGTAAGAATTCCAGCAGCATCTTGTCTTGATTTTGGATGAGGAGAACAAGGGCTAGCAACATTCAGAGTAAAGTAGATCAAAGCACACACGCACCACGACCCACATGACAATGGTGAAAATACAATAGAGTTCAAACATCATTTCATAACCAAGTTGGCACTAAATATCCATACGCTGATCTGAAGAATGACAAACTTAGAAAGTTGGCAAGTTCAAATGCCTCAATACATAGTAGAGTTTACTAGTTAAGCAAATGTATGTGCCACATTACATATTAGTAGTTCATAATCATTACAGAATGATCATAAGATGGCTATAGAGTTCACAAAAGATGTCCCATGTCATGTCCATCAAGCATTGCAGATTGTGGCTACTTAGTACCACTTGCTTGTGGAGCAACAAAGACCAAATTGCTCGATCTTTGCTAACAACAGTTGTTGGTGGTGCGATTGTTGCCTTCTGTAGCTTTTTTTTATAGGTGTCTTCTTCTTCTTCTTAGGGTTAGTCTTCTTCTGAGTCTTCTTCTTCTTCACCTGGGAAGGTCCAGCGACATCTTCAGTTGTCCTCTTCCTGCAGTGGAATCACAGGAGTAGATTGGTAATAGGAAAAGATAATTTGGAGCAAAATGGCAACACACAAGTAGTTTGAATACCTTTTTGAAGATCCTTGTCCTATTTCTCCATCCTCCCCTAGTTCTGGGAACTTGCAGGTCTTGGGAAAGTGCCCAAAACCACCACATCTCTTGCACCTGACCTTCTTTTGAGTGGCCCTCTTCTCCAAACTCCCTCTAATTCTGACAACCCTTGGTCTGCCTGCACCTCTGCCCAGTAATGAAGGGTACACTTTGAAGCCAAGGTCGACAATAGGGTACTGTGACCTGTCTGGGATAGGCTCAACCCTGTCTTGGTAGGTTGCCTTAAATCTAGCAACAGAATAGTAGTCGTGTACATAATCCTGAATCCTTATCCCTCTGTTTGAAAGTATCTAGTCCAAAGCATGCTTGCAGGGCTTTCCAGTCACCTGCCATTCCCTGCAAGAACAATTACGGTTCTGTAGGTCCACAATGTGCCTCTTCTGATTGTTCCAGTCATCCAAGAGAGTCACTTCAGCAATGTCATCGTCACTGACTTTGACCTTGACACTTTGAGATGATTGCTGATCAGGTTAAGATCCTTTATCACACCTGGTAGGATTCCATCCTCCCACTGCGTAGCAATCTTCTTCCTCAAATATCTCTTCTCCATTATTAGCTCTCTAATTCTATCTACCAGCTCATGTGCAAATAAACCTTTGAGGTGCTTCACCTGTGCATTGAAGCTTTCTGACACATTGTTGGTCAAATAATCACACTTGTTGTTTTCTGAGAACCCACAAATGTCTCATGCATTCCCTATTCTCAGCATTTGGAAACACTGCACCCACTGCTTTCTCTAGGCCTTTGCATGCATCTGAACAAATTACAAGATTTGGTACATCACCAATTGCTCTGGAAAGTTGTTGCAAGAACCACTTCCAGTTATCTTCAGTTCCTGAGTCAAAAATGCCATAAGCTATATGATACAACCAGTTATGTCCATCTACATTGGTTGCTGAAGCTAGCTGACCTCTGTACTTACCATTCAGACTAGATGCATCTATACCCATAAATGGTCTGCATCCAGCCAGAAAACCATCCACACAAGGCTTAAGAGCAACAAACATTCTCCTAAATCTTTGCTTTTTACCAATCTTATCAAGCTCTATCTCTATTAGGCTACCAGGAGAGACTTGTTCAATCTGAGCAGCCCAATTGAATAGCAACTGAAAACTTTCCTCATATCTACCATGGATTTGATCTATTGCTAACTTCATACCTGACCAAGCCTTTGAATACTTCAGTTTGATGCCATAATCATCTTCCAACTTCTCCTTGCAATCCTTTGCACGTTTTGTTGGATTTTTCTTGAGCCAATCTCCCAACCTGTCTGCACACCAATCCTGTGATGCCATCTTTCCTACTACCAGTTTTGTAGTTGGACAGTCGTGATCTGATGGAAGTACTTTGATCTGCACATAGAAAACAAGTCAGGTCAAACAAATAGAAATGTACATAGAAAACAAGTCAGGTCAAGCAAATAGAAATGCACAAATGAACTAGTGCATGGTCAGTTACCTGTATTGTCTTTTTATCATGTAGCCTAGATGCATGTATGCGCCAAGGACATCGCTCAGCCTTGCACCTTGCAATATACCTTGTTGGGTCTGTTTTGATACCAGCTAACTCAAAGCCTTTAGTCACAGCGTAATGCCTGATAGCTTTCCTGAATGAAACAATATCAGGAAATAACTCCCCCTTCTCAATCTTGGGGTGCTCTGGGTCATGGATCACATGGATCTCTTCAGGGTCTGCATCATTGACCTCTGTCTCAGTAGGAAAAGCATGAGCATCATCATTAACAGCATCATGAGAAACATGTGGAGGTGAATTACTATGAGGTTGTGAACTGCTATGTGGCTGTGTTGGTGGTATTGGCATATACATTCCCTCATCATCATAACCCACATACTCTTCATCATTATCAAACATATCGGGCTCCCTATCAGGCTCAAGTTCAGGCTCAACTTCAGCCTCCATGGGAACCTTTGGTGCACCATCTGCCTTAGATGATGGCTGGTTAACATTACTGTCAGTAGGGATTGCATTGCCAATGTCGGGAGGAATCACACATAAAGGTTCTAATGCATCAAACTGATCAACAGAGGCAACAGATTGATCAAACACTCCTACAACAATCTGGCAACGCATCTGGTCCTTATACATCTCAAATATGTCATTCATCTGGAACTGGTTTTCTAGTCTGACATCTTCACACACCCTTTTGTCATAGTACCAAGTAGTTGGACACTGAGTACGAGACCATTTGACAGCATTGCGCAAGCTAGTCATCAGTAACTCAAATGAAAACGAGCCTATCTCCACATCCCACTTAATCACAGAGCCCTTTGTGTAAGCTTTCCTACCCAAAGAGTCTATCGTACATAATGCTTCCACTTTAATCTCTAGGGAAAATAGTGGAACCCTAGCATCAACCAAATCACATCAAAATGTGCACATCTCCAGCGACAATGCATAAATCGAGGCCTAATCTACTCATCTCTGTGCTCAGCAAGGAGAGAAAAAGTACCTTTCGTCGCCGTCCACCATCGGCGACCCACGCGGGGACGCGTCCGCCATTGACGCGCACGCTACTCCATTGCTTTCCTTCGACTGGCCCCCTTGCGCCGTCTCCTTGGCCTGCTACGCCGCCATCGGGATCGTCGCCGTCACCACCGCCGAAATCGCCGCCGCCACCACAGCCTAGGGTTCTTGCTCGGGGAGAGAGACAGGGAAAGTGAGAGAGAGAGAGAGAGGTGGAGACGGTGGCGTTCACCGCACCGTTTAGATGAAGACGGGCGACAAACGGATACGGTCGACCGTATGCCACGGATGCCTGCAAGCGGGCCCAAGCGTTCGTCGGGCATATACGATGGCATATTTCAAAGTATCGCAAAATTATAATAGCACGCTTGCGATTAGACGAATTGTAATGGTATATTTCCAATCTTCAAGAATTGTAATGGCACCTTTCCAAAAAAGCCTTTTGAAAGTCAGTTTGGAGGACCTTCCATATGAACTGAAGAACTGCTTCTTACATTGTGCACTCTTTCCAGAGGATTATGAACTGAGGAGGAGAAGGTTAATAAAGCACTGGATTACTTCTGGATTCGTCAACGAAAAAGAGAACAATACACAGGAAGAAGTGGCTGAGGGCTACTTGAATGACCTTATAAACCGAAGCCTGCTACAAGTTGTTGTGAAGAATGAGTTTGGAAGAGTGAAGAAGTGCCGAGTGCATGATGTCATCCGCCATCTTGCTCTCAAAAAATCAGAGACAGAATGCTTTGGAAGTTTTCGTGGGATCCAGGACATTCTCGGTATGCAACTCACGTCGACTATCAATACAAAGTTCCAATATTTCATCATTGAGTCAATCTGGTGCAACACATCTACGGGCAATATATGCTTTTGCGAGTTCCATTGATATTGAATTGCTAAGGCCTGTCCTTGCATCTTCAAACTTGCTGTCGGCTTTGGATCTGCAAGGTACTCAAATCAAAATGTTGCCTGATGAGGTATTCAATTTGTTCAATCTAAGGTTTCTGGGTCTTAGATTTACTGCAATTGAGGTGCTACCTGATACAATAGGAAGACTGAAAAACTTAGAAGTGCTGGATGCAATCACTACTTCTCTGCAATCTTTACCAAACTCTGTAGAAAAACTGAAGAAGCTTAGGTTTCTGTACGCAGGAGCAATGGTTGGAGAAGGGCCTTCGACGAATTTTAGTGGAATTAGGTTGCCTAGAGGCATAAGGAATTTGACCAGCCTGCATGTTCTGCAAGAGGTTAAAGCAAGCATTGAGACACTTCATGATGTTGCTGCTTTGACAGAGTTGAGAACATTTTCAGTTTGCAATGTGCTAAGTGAGCATGCTTCCAGCTTGTGTAGTGCTATAACCAACATGGGTCATCTTACAAAACTATCCATTGATGCATCAAACGAAAATGAAGTACTACCATTAGAAGCACTCAGTTTACCAGAGACATTTACTAAACTTGGACTGCTAGGGCAACTGGAAAACAACTTGTTGCCTCGGAGTCTCTCTTCCTGGTCGCACCTTAACAACCTTAAGCAGTTGTTTCTGAGATTCTCCAGACTGGATGAAGACTCATTTTCTAGCCTGAAGGTGTTACACGGTTTACAGTGTCTTATGCTTAATAAGGCTTATAATGGAAAGACAATGTACCTCCCTTCACAAGCGTTTCCTAGACTGCGAGTGCTAAGAATATGGGGTGCTCCGCAGATCAACCAAATCATAATAGAAGAAGGTGCACTGGCAAGCCTTGTTGAGTTAGTGTTATCAGACTGCCAAAACATGAAGTGCCTGCCTCAGGGCATTGAGTATCTTAGAACCCTTGAGGAATTATACTTGGAAGACACTGCAGAGGAGCTTGTAGAGAAGCTTAGGGATGGATGTAAAGAAAATCCCTGGAACAAAGAACTTCAGAAAATTATGCACATCAGAAAGGTCTTTGTTAAATTAACTAAGTAAAATATTTGGGTAAGAATATGCTGACGAATGCATGGATGCTGCAGTTTGGTGAGGTAAGCAATTTTCTTGATACCACTTACCTAAATTTCTGTGCTCATTGTCCATACGGTCAGCTAGTAAATTGCCTCATTCGCACCTTTTTCTTCCACGTTAATGTGCTTACTAATAGCGAGCACATGAGCATGAAATGGATAACAGGGTCAATATATCTTTTCTCCAATCATGTTTTATGTTATCCAGTTGCACACGAATTAACTTGAATACAGTAACTAAAGCAACGTTGATATGTGCATGCGTTGGAGGGTTCAGGAATGCAACATAGTTGAATTTATCTCTTCGAGTACTACAGAATTTTCGGCTGTACTGCAGGCAGGGGCGAAACATAAGTGCATATTTTCAATGCAGAATGCAAAGTTACCCTGTTTGCTCTTAACTTTTCTGGTTTTATCATATTTTTTACGAGACTGGTTTTATCATTGGATTAACGCTTGGGCATAATACTACAGACAGAGGACAGAAGTCAGAAGATGCTATATATGCTACTAGAACAAGGGGCTGGTGAATTCTTGCAATTGCAGCTGGCTGGAGGTTCGCGCCACTAAAGTCAGGATGAACTGCGAATGGTGCCGTTGCCTCTTTTTTCTTTCCTCGTCGTTGGTTGATTTCTGAGCTGTGCGCGTGGTAGGAATGATGCCTGCGGTACCTGCTGGAGGAGGAAACTATTTTTTTTCTTGTTCTCTGGGAGCTTTTATTTTGCTGAAAGCTAGTGTTTGTTAAGTTCTCTGTTTGGTGATCACTGGCACAGTGGTTTCTTTTTGCTTCATGTCCTGCATGATGAGGCCTGTAATAAACTTGCAGAGTGCTCAGTTTTTGCTGCGCTGAACCTGGCTTTCCTTTCATATACGTTCTTCAATTTGGTATTTTGGTTTGTCACTAGCAAAAGTGCGCGTTGCAACGGGATCCAATACGTATTGGAATCTGTACCTAATAATAAAGTGGCAAAATTTCTGCCACAATTTTGAAATAAGATATCATATCATTATTGGAAGCTAGTGTCAAAAACAACCACAAGAGGAAAATCTGAACGTAGTCGAAGCCAAGTAGGAAAAAGTCATGACAAAAATTGGAATGTACTCTAGAAAAATAGACAGAAAAAATCAGAACATATTCGGAGCCAAGTGAAAAGCGTCCAAATCAGAATGTAAAGCTACACGTACTCGGATCAAGTAAAAACAGAAAAACAAAAAAAGTGAAAAAAGAACCGAATTCTACCGTTCTTTCCTCTTTATTAGATTTCTATTCTTATATTTTTTGCATTTGTATTAAGATTTCTATTCCGGTTACTCGGAGTCGGAGAGATCTAATTGATTAAGATTCCTATCTATCCATATTATTATATTTTTCCTATTTGGATTAAGATTCTTATTCGCCCAAAATCGGAGAGATCTAATTGAACTGGGATTGCTAGTTATATAAAGAGAAGGGCTATAGACGGTTTTCCACTTTCACAGAGTTAGTTAAAGAATGGACGGACAAAAAATAGGTGAAGAGAAATTTTGACTCTTTAATATTAGGTATATAGATATAGATATCACTTCAGTTTGGTATAAGGTTTGACATGATTTTTGCTGTTCGAGTTTAATTGACCTTAATTAATGCTTTCTTTCTAAAAAATACTTAATATCTGTTACATCAGGGTCATGACTCATGCTCCATGCTTCGATCATATTCTGGCAAAAGGAAAGAAGAAGAACATAAACCGGCAGGTCCATTGCATACTTACTGAAGTGTCCGAAAGCGAGGCTGCCTCTCTGTTTTCTAGAAACAGAGCAAGTTCCGTTGTTTTACTCTGTTTTCTTGAAGCATAATGAATCTAGTTTGTCACGTGGGTGATTTGACAGCATCGCACCCATGCACGGGTCGACCAATTGCGCTATCCCCAACTGGCCAACTCCGTCGAAGGTGGCGCACACCCTGTAGCTGTACATCGCTCTGCCGCCCGCACCCGACAGTAGACCTGAATCAAATATATTGGGCATTCTAATTGTCAGATTTGAGATGGCACTGTACTCCTACTTCTTAGTAAAAGAGGGTAGGAAGAAGTCAGCAAATGATGCGCTGCTAGTTTCACAGGTTTTATTTTTTTTTCTAATCCTAGAATAACAAGCATTATAATTTGTATGTATCTTAAATATATACTCCCAGTTATGGAACAAAAGAAAATAAAACTGGTAAGCATAGAACAGCCGTGGTGCCGTGCCAATGACTGCCCTGCTTCCTATACTCGGCAGCAATAATCAGGAGTCCATTTTCACCGAACTAAATACAGTAGTGGGCAATGGTTAAATCTTCTATTTTGATATAATCACCATGATTACTTTAGATTTGAAAAAAAAATGAAATAAACATTAATGACGCACATGAGTCGCGGAGGAGAGCGGCTGAGGTGGGATGGGGCCTGGCTGCATGCGCGCGGAGCTGGGGCCTGAGTGCCTGACTGCCCGGCGGCCACGGCACCAGAGTGAATCTGCCGCCTGCCGGCCAGCTTCAGTCACGGCGCGGTGTCAGCCTCTCACGGAGGAGCGGAGCTCCAGATCCTGCCGGCCGCCATGGAGAGGAGGGGCCGGCGGGCGACTGCCGCCCGGGCATGGCGAGCCGAGGCCGGAGGACGGACTGGCGGGAGTCGCCAACGGAATCGAAGTCGAAGAGGCCGGGGCGTGTTAAGCGAATGCAAACTGTGACACATAGTGGGCTACCTGGGCTGCACTGAAGAGCTGCTCCCAGAAAAGTTGGGCCACACCCTGGGCTGCAGGCCGTGAATCCGCCACTGGACATGATCATCAGCGGGGCAGAAAATCGTGGCCCGCGCTTGCCTGTTGCATGGACCACGGGCCAGCCCGACGCTCGCCGCGCCGCCGTCGTTAACGTCTCTCCGTCGTCGTTGGTAGATGCTTGACAATTGACATGTATGAGGCTAAAGCCCAATCCTGCGAACTTATGTCTTCCGCAATGGCACCTCCCGCCATAGATGGTGTCGTGTGTAGTAGAAGCAACGAGGACAATGGAGGCCGACGAGCCAAATCCTGGGTATAGATGGCCAAATGGGTTGCCAAGCCTGGTCCGGCATGGTCCCAGAGAAAACAAGGCCATAGACAGCGGGTCAGGCATGGCACGCCATGCCACCAAGCCATGCCTATTAGGAGTCTATGACCACGGGCCTAGTCTTCAACCCAAGCATGACATGTCGTGCCTTTTTCCATGCCAGACTGACGGCCTATTCGTTTGGTCGTATTTGGCTTATAAGATATGGTTTATCAGTCAACGAACAGTATTTTTCTCTCATACCAAATCAGATAATAGTACTTTCAGCCATGTCTTATCAGCCAAATAAACCCAAACATACCGGGTGTAGACTGATAACCACGGAAGCGTTAGCAGGCAGGGCTAGCCCGCTTACCATGCTACTGGGTGCTGGCAGGGGAATGGAGGCAACAACAGGCGAGGAGGTCTGCGGCACAGGGTGGGGAGAGAGAGGAGGTGATAGCAAGCAAGCCAGGGAATGAATGGTTCACCTCCGTCCACCTGTTATGTTGAGAGGAACATGCATGGTACAGGAGTACAGGACCAACTTCATGGATCACAGTAATGAAGCTCACTTTTGTTCATTTTTTAAGATAAAGAGCTCACTTGTTCATGCAGAGTCCAGCTGGTACCCACGTGATGACCACCGCACACTGTTTGGGGCTCCCAAAGTCAGGAATCTGCACCTCTAACTTTGCTCTATTAAAATCAAAGAGCCGTTCTTTCTTGAACGTACGGAGTAGTAGGTGGTAGGAGCAGTACCTTTTATTAAAATTGAAAAGAAAAGAATGAAGGCGGTGTCAACGGGTTGCTCTGAGAGTCTGAGGTACCTCGGTGCTGGGGCTATTTTACTTTTGAGGACGTAACCTACCTCGGAGTTTCTGTATAATATTTTCTATATCTATATATATATATATATATATCTAATAATAAAGTGGTAAAATTTCTGCCACAATTTTTTTTGTCCAACTCCGATCTCTGCTCGAATTCTGATTTCTTGTCCGGTAATCCTCTTTTCAAAGTGTTGTTCAGTTTGGATCTAATCTTTAATAATTTTTCTTTCCAATAATTTTCCTTTCCTTGGTTTGTGTCCTCAACTCCAACATGATGGACTCCACATATGAATCCAATAGAAGAAATCGAATACAATACAACGACTCAATAAATAAATACGGATCCAATAGGAGAAATCGAATACAATACAACGACTCAATAAATAAATAAACTGAATACTAATTGGGTTAAATTGAACACCAATTAAACCAAATATGCTAGGCACCATATCAGCGCAGGCGAGGTGGCACGAAAAGTTGCTGACACCGGAACGACGATGGCGTGAGGCTTGGAGACGCGGCTCGGGCAACGGAGGGGTAACATGACGAGGCGGCGATGTGAGCAAGACCGAGGCGAGGATGTGTGACGGCGATGACGCGAGGCGAGGTCAAGGAGAGTGGAGACGGCAACGCGGGCGAGGTTGCTAAGTCGCTGGGGCGTGCGGCCACTGGGGCTCTGTAGCATGGACCTGCCAGGCTGTCGGGACGCCGTCGCGTGGAGCTACCGGGGCGTGGTTGTGTCGGGGCTCCATGGCTGTCGGGGTGCTGTGACCGTCAGCCCGTCTAGGTTCCATGTGGCCGCCTTGGAGGCTTTAGGCGGACGAAGTTGGAGGCCTCGGGGTGAGAGTGGATGAGGCCACGTGACTCCGAGTCCGAGCTAGCAGATAAGGATGAGAAAGAAGAGAAAAAGAAAGAAGAGAAAAAAAAGAAAAAGAAAGAAAGAAAAGATAGGATATTATACATATTTCCTCATTGATTAATTGTGTGCTGTTGGTCTCGACTTTAACCAAAATTGCACAATAAAGTGTTTATACACTATGTAAATTCACTGGTATAGAGTATGCTCCAGTATATTTGTTGATTCTT